TTTGCATTCTCTTAGACCTCCTAGTCCATCCCTTCTGGCCCTCATCAATATTTAATAAGTGTGGGAACATAGTCTCTGGTACTCGTGTCCTGTTAATAACTCACACGGTTAGGACTTTGGAAGCATATTTGCAGCTTATGTCAGACTTTTGTTTGAAGCTAACATAGAAATTAAGGTGGGGGATTCTAGATATACATGGTTTTGGAGAGATGCTTGGAGCCTTGGAGAGGTAGGTCACAGAGCTTTGAAGATCAAATATCAGAACCTTTATTAGTTTCACTACTAATACAGGTAGTCTTGTCTCAGATTGTTGGAATGGTGGATGCTGGTGCATTAGTTTTAGAAGGATTTGTTTTGATTGAGAGATACCTAGAATGGCTCTCCTATTGAATGATTTAGATAAGGTGGAGCTTAATGTGAAGTATCTTGAGTCTATAATCCAGGGAAGTGGGGATCGACGATGATATCACACATCGTATTGGTGCAGCGTGGATGAAGTGGAGACTTGCATCCGGAGTCTTGTGTGATAAAAAACTACCACTGAAACTTAAAGGCAAGTTTTATAGAGTGGTGGTTAGGCCAACTTCCTTGAATTCCAGTGTTTAGTTTTATATAGTAAGATCTGTTTCTGAGATTTCTGGATGCAATAGGTGAACTAAACTCATAGATAGTTGGGTAAAGTTAATGGTTTATGACTACAGAAAAATGATGGAAAATGTGCTTTGCATGTAAACTCTATTTTAATTTTTTTTTTCTGATGATGACAATTAATATGCCATATCACTGCAGTTGCAAGCTAAGGAGGATGCGCTGGTTAATTTCAAAAGTGAACTTTCAGTCACCGAACTTGAGATTCAGGTTTGCTTCTTCTACGTTGGTGTTATTGTAATTTTATTGCTTCAGATGTAGTTGTAAGTATTTGGTGCATTTGCATACAGGTTATAACAAACCTATGGTTCCTTATGATGTGAGGATTTGTGCCGTAATTAACTAGAATGGGATTTATGCTAAATGAAATTGTCCGCACTTTGAAGATGAAACTTACCGGGAACTAGAAGAGAAAATTTAAACAGTTGATAATCCAACATTTGTGTGGGACTTCAACTCTAGCAACTGGCATTAGCAGCTTATGTAGTATAAATATAGTTTTGTATTTTATTTGACCTGCAGGTTTTGGCTAGATTGGCTGAAGAAATTGCTAAATCTGCTATCCCAGCTGGTTCAAGAAAAATTAAAGGGAGATATATCCAGTCACACCTATTATCACGTTTGGAAGGTATTATTACCTTACTGTATACTTTCTTGAACTGAACACCGAACTCTTTTGAATGACAGACAGTGCCAACCTTGTTAGATTGTAGATAAATGTTCATGGATAAATTTAACCTGACATTTCTATGATTGCTGTCTTGATACTTCTGTTCTTAAGCCATACGTGAAAAATTGAAGGAGCAAATAAAGGGCGTGGAAGCTGTACAAGCCAAAGAGGTTCCTTTATCCTGGGTTGGGGTAGCAGAGGTAAGTTATTGAATAAGTTTCTTCTGCATCTGCTAACAATGTTGGAACTGTGGAATTCCTGACAATTGAAAACTGTACAATTGAAATGACATACATCCCTCTACCAGCTTAAAATTCTTGTGTGCATTGTGAAAATTGAAAACTTTGAAGCTGTTTCAGTTAGTCTGGTGTTACTATCTTTTATTTTCGGCCTATTGAGATTAAACTGGAAAGAGTATTATATCATTTCCCTCTCATTTCCCCTTGTTCTTCATCACTGCTTTCTATAATACTATTTGTTGGAACCTGAAACAGATATAGTGTCTCCAAATAAAGTAAAAAAATAAAATACAAGCCTTCATCTCACTTTTCCCTTAAAAGTTTTCCCCTTAGTTAAATTGGAAAGCTTGGTTGAATGTTGATTGCTTACTTGTCTTGAGAATAGAATAGGTCGTGTCTTATCTTTGGAGTTTCTTATAGCTTTAAGTGGCATCCGGAATTTCTTGCTTATTTGTTATGTAAACATTTTTTAATAAACCAAGCCTTTTGGTTTGAAAGAATCTAGGCGATCCAATCAGATGATACGATAGAAAAGAAGGTTTAATATTTTTCTACTAAGAGTGGTGAGTCCTCTATTTTTTTCCTTCACTTTAACAAGTTACTCCGTCCGTTCATTTTTATTTGTCACTGTTTGACTTGGCACACCCATTAAGAAAACAATTATTGATATAGGTATTTTACCAAACTGTCCCTATTAAATGATCTTTAGTATTAGGTCTTGGAAAATGATTTGGAGAATAAGTATTTAACGCTGAGGGTAAAACATGAAAAAAAATAATTGTCTTTTCTTGATATGTCAAAATGAATATCTATTTTAGGAATAAGTGTCAAGTAAAAATGAATGGAGGGAGTAGATTTTTCATAGCAAATGAGTATATGTGTACCATGTGTGCTATAGCATATATATTTACTTCAAGAAAATACTTTCCATTATTGATGTATCCTGTGAGATCAACTTTAAGGTAATATGCCTATGTAATAATGTAGGTGCAGACAAAATTTGGTAAATTTTTTGAAGTAGGACCTCAGTCCTCTTATAAACTTCCTCGAGCACTAGGTGAAAGAGATGGAAGTCTGCATGAGTCTTTTGGCTATTTAGACTCAACCCAGTGAGTTGTTGGCTAGGGATACTATTTCTATTGGGCGAGTCCATTAGGGCACGGTTGTGTATACGATGTTTCTTTTACGCGTCTAAGGAGGATGAGAAGAATTGTGAACCCCCTCTCCCCCCTGTTTGGCATTTTTAACAACTGTATGATTTATATTTTGATTAGCAAAGATAAACAAAATGGAGATAATGCCTAAATCATATGGTTGGAGTAGTATTAAAGGTTTATTTGCTCAAGTTCCTAGTTCCTGCCGAATTCCCTTTATGTACAAGGACTTTCGATCAAGAAATTGGCACCAAATTTTCTACTATTACTTAAAATGTTTTTCATTGGATACACGTTTTGGCAGTCAATTACAGAAGGCATTAAATATGACCTTGAATTTTGATCATCTTTAGAGTGTGCAAGTAATGGGCTCCTTTGATGGTTGGAGTCAAGGAGAGCACTTATCTCCAGAGTACACCGGCTCTTATATGAACTTTTCAGCTACATTGTTCCTAAGACCTGGAAGGTACGTTTCTCTTCTGCCGCAGAGTAAATCTGTCATTGCATTCTCTCTGAACTCTCAGGTGAAATTTTTTTCCTTTAAAAAAATAATATATTTGTGTTTTTAGGTACGAAATTAAGTTCATGGTAGATGACGAGTGGAAACTATCCCCAGAATTACCAACTACCGGAGAGGGGTTAACTAAGAACAATTTATTGGTCGTGGAATAGCTCATTTAGCTAGGACAGGTGCTGAAAGTCTGCACTCTAGGTGGAAAAACAACTTATTAATCGTCATACAGTTCCTGTTGGAAGGTTAGTGCTGTAGGAGTGACATGCCGTCTCTTTGAGAATGTGATCTCAGAACTCTAAGCAGTGTATATATGATACTTAACTATCAGCAATATATATGTTCATTCATGTCATTCGTTTCTTGAATTTTAAATAAGGGAGGATTTGATTTTCAGCAGCTAGCTCATGAGGCGGAATTGCTCAAGACATCTAATTTCGCTTGACCAACTATTAACTCACATGCCCAATAATCTAAGTGTTGAAGGTATATATAATAGACCTCCTAAGGTGGTATATAAAGGGCGATCCTAATAGTTCAAGACTTCCGTTTTTCTCTTATAAAGTCTTGAGTTGAATGTTCAGATTCTTTCACAGTGTTTAAAGTAATTCCTGTCGTTTGGTTGGGAACAAGTTATCCCAGGATAAGTTATCCTGTGGTTAGCTATCTTGGGATAACTTATCCAATCACTATGATATAAATGGTGGGATAAGTTATCCCAAACATGGCAACCAAACAAGATACAAAAATTTTATCCCATCACTATTATTTTTAATCCCTCACACCAAACGAAGTTTTTAATGTTGACCAAGGCCTGTTTGGAAGCTTTTGGGAGGTCAAAAATTATTATTTATTTCTTTTCAAAAAAGGTTTATTTTTAAAAATTAAGGTGTTTGGCTGAGCTTTTGAGGGGAAAAAAAGTGTTTAGTTTTCCCTTTTATTTTAAAAGTTGTACTATCATCTAATGGCAGACCACAAATTTAAGTACTATTTGGCTGTCCATAGATAATAGTTACTGTAAGTGAAATGATTCTTTTCGATTTCTCAGAGGAATCTGAAAATAAATGTGTCCAATTTTGTTTAATATATGATTTACATCTAACCCACTTCCATTCTTAGTAGTTAGTAATCCGTACATTAAACTTTGATGATTCTAAAAATGAAAAAAATCAGAGCCGCGACTTTATTATTTACTAATATATAACAACCTCAACCTCCCTAATATTATAGTAGGCAGCTGCTATAATATTATGATCTCACAAATGGGTTGGTTGGTGGCTTTGTCCTAATTAACAAACGAAAGGCCATTTCTCATCAAGAATTATAGTTTACTTCATGCCTGCTACTTGTTAAAGTTTATATATTTCTTTCGGGACGTTTGCCAACTTGTTATATATCTTTTTTTTTCTATATAGAATATATCCTTAATAGGTCTTGTTTCTATCTTATCTTTTTTATATATAGTAGAGTACTATTTATCTCTTCATTAATTAGCCGTCCGTATAGTGGCGAAGCTAGGGATTAAAAAGATGCAAAAAATATCTGATAGATTTAAATGTATGACAAAAAGTTCCACACTGGTGGTTATGTTTAGTCTTTTTATATGATTTTTGACAATCATCATCGGATTGAGTCAGGTCCAATGTTCATTATTTTTCAGTTGCATTTGAACTCTTTTTCTAAACACTATATCTTAAGTTAAATTTTATTTACATAGCTTCTTTGTGAATATAATTTACTTCTTTATATTTTGAATCCTACGGTTCTGTTCCTGCCCATCACGAGTCCACATGACTAATTGTCCGTGTATATGCTTGTAATAACTTTATTCTTTAATTGTAAACATTAATTTGGTTTGGAATACGTAGAAGTTGTCATATGCTGTCTAGTTACGTAGATATATATAATAGAAGAAGAAGGGCTTAGCATTTGCCAAGAAGGAATCCAGTGTCCATTTCAAAAGTCCTGTACCTGAAGCTAATCTTTCTTTCTTTCATTGATTTGTAGAAGAGAACCTCAAGGCTTGAATGGTTCATCTCATCAAATATTGGATGCCCTCTCTTCTTTTTCTCTCCTTTGGCTCTGCTTGGTGCTATCGTTGCATCGGTCTTGACCCTTGAGATTTTCGTTCCTTTTTCCTTATTTGTACCAATAAAACTGTAGAAATCATATCATATACTCCGTTATGTCAATAAAGAAGGTGAAAGGTACTAGGTTGTTGATCACGGTTAATGTCTTAGGAAGTGCTGGACCGTTGAGGTTTGTTGTGAATGAGAATGATAAGGTTGCTAAGGTTGTTGACACTGCTCTGAAACAATATGGTCGCGAGGGACGACTTCCAATTCTGACTTCTAACGTCAATGATTTCCTTTTGTACTCAGCTAGTGCTGGAATGGATGGTAAGTACTACACAACTTATCTTAGTTTCATCTCTCTATCGGTTTTTTTAAACTTCAAGAGGAGAGGAGAGGATCAACAGTATTCTCACTTACTCTTACAGGTTGCAAAAAGAGAGAGCCGAGTCAAATTTAACCGGACTTTCCTTGTAATTACCTATTCTCTTGTTTTATTTAGCTTAGCTTACCGATTTTCTTAAAAGAAAATAGTACTCTCTATTAGCTTAAAGTTACCTAATTCTTGTTTTACATAATTCTCAATCACTAAGTTAGATTTTAATTTTATGTTACATTTTGACCCATTAATTAGGTTACTGTTGCTCATATCCTCAAAAAGTTATACACGTTATATTTTTGAGTTTGACCTAGTAATTTGATGGATTATTTTGAGTTCAATCTATTAGGTCATGTCAATAACTCATTTACTAATTTTTCAGCTCTGGGAGCATCAGACTCGATAGGGTCACTAGGAGTGAGGAATTTCATCCTTTGTAAGAAGCAAAAACAGGCAGTGATGACAGAAGGAAGGGCACAACATGGAAATGGGAAAAGGGGATGGAAGGCTTGGCTCACTAAGTCCTTTAACTTCAAGATTCATTCCCATTGAATCACACATGCACTACTCTTTGTCAATTGTGGTAATTTCATCAAGCATTTGCACTTGTAATAGACATGATAATTACATATAAAATAAATGATGTACACATTAATTCCTAAGCTACTTAAATGAGAGCATTCAATAAGCTTGAATTCCACACACAAAATTCTTTACTACTCATTCTACCACATCACTCTGTTTGAGGCTTCATCTAGGGTGGCAATTGGGGGTTGGGTCAAATTTGGACGGATTATAATGGGTCAAGACAATAAATAGGTCAAGATTCAATCTACTCATTCAAATTTGTTTGCATCAAAACGGTTAGGTAATGAGTCATAAACCGGGTTAAGGCTCAATTCAACTCAACTCAGTTTTTACTAAGTTTAATTATTTTATTTGTTCTTTTAAAATATTTTACTACCTAATAATTTATTTATTTTCTATTATACACAACATTATCTTGCATTTCTACAAGAGGTTATTTCCACAACTTGAGCCCAGAATATTTGAATGTTTTTAATGTTGACACGTTCCATATAATGAGAAGTCTTCTTTTATTTTCTATATTGCTAACCACTTATTTTTAAGGTGCTATCAATATCATCTAATGTTAATGTCACGAAGTAAAATAAACCTACAATTATTCCCATTATTTAAGTTATCATTGACTTGAACAGTACTCATGATTATTGTAAGGATTCTTTTCAATTTTAAAGAGAAATCTATAATTGAAAAATATAATTATTCTCATCGACTTTAATATTATATCAAAGGGGAAGGTACGACTCGTCCTAAACAGCAATAGAAAGAGCATTACTCATGATCATACGAATTCAGCCGACTGTAGTAATTTTTGCTCAAATAATATATTTGTGTTAAGAAATTAATTAAATATGTATAAATATTAAGTTCAGAACCCAATAATTAACACTTAAAATAGTCATTTTAAAATTCATAACCCATAAAATTGAAATACTGGCTCGACCTTTGATAGTGAGCACTATAGTTTGCTTCATGCCTTGGCAGTTGTTAAAATTTATATAATTTTTTAATGTCTGGAATATTTGTCAACTTGGTAAAATTGATTTATGTTTGTATATAATAAATTCAGTAACATCTAGGGATTTATGTAAGGTTCCTTTGAAAAGAAACATTTTATAGTTCTTATTCTTCTATTGTTAATTTTTTTTATTTTTTTTCAACAGGGGCATATTTTATTGTTATTGATAGTAAAGAAGTAGGAACAGTATTACCTAGTACAGGAACTAAGTAAAAGGACTAATTGCATGTTAAGTCTAATTGCATCATAGTACAAGTGTTGTAAACATCAATTTGGTCAGAATACATACATGAACTTGTCATATGCTGTTGCCTATCTGGTGCTATTTATCTAATGGGTTTATAAGTTTGTATATATTGCGCTTGTAAAAATTATCTACACAATCAGGTCATTTATAAGATATTCGTAGGTATAGTGACACTATAACAATAATAATAGCATATCCAGTGAGATCCACTAGATAGATATAGTGATACTACAACAACAGCAACAACATACATTATATCTCATATCAAACGACTCATGCCGTATATAATGGGAACGGGACCAAAAAACAGAACAAGAATCCAGAGTCACATTTCAACAAGGACAGCCTTTCGTTTTGAGTTGTACATGTACCAAAAGTCACATTTAACTTTTCCCCAATTTCACACGTAGCTTGAAATCAATTGGAATACATAGAAAGTTCTCCCCTGTTTGTACCTTAATTGTCTGGTTCAGATCATGAACTATAGGTCTTACTTATCCGTATTCAACATTAATGTAGAGTAACATATTGTGCCTAGCAGATTAATTTTTTTTCTTCCTTCATGCTTAGTCCTGACATGATGTCATGTTAGGAGATATAGTTATGTAAATAAAATTAGCATATCGTTACAAGTTCAACTGTTTAGATGAGGTGATCACAATTTAACAAGGTATCAAAAAAGACGATAAAGGTCAAAAATAGTCCTGGGCAAGACTGGCACTCGAATACCATTGATGACCCCAAGCGAACTCTTGGCCTGGCTTACTTAACTCAGCGGAAGACTTAACTCAACAAAATAAACTCATGTAATAGTTTAAATGATAACATCTTAGCCAAATTGGCAACTTCTGTCTCAAAACAAAGTATCTGTAAATACATAGATGAGAGACTCATAAGTACTGTCTGACTGTCTATGAAGCCTCTATAATACTGAGATGGATATTGGGACAGACCCCACAATATCCTAATAAGAAAAACTAGGAAAGCGAATAAAAGAGTCCTCCGGAATGCAAGGACGCTCACCACTAACTCTAGAATGCTCGACTAGATCAACGGCGCGCTGGATGCTGATCCTAGTTACCTGCGTCTGCATCATAATAAGATGCAGACCAACTGGCATCAGTACATTGAATGTACGAGTATGCGAGTTGGAAAGCTAAACAACAACTTAAGCTTGAAAGGAGTAAGAAGGAACACTTACCTTGGCTCTGTACAACTCATGAATAACTGAACTCAATATAAAGCAATAAGACACATGCAATATATATATATAAAGCTTGTAAAACAGTGTAACTAACTTAGTTCGTTAAAGATAAAGCAATAACAAACTCAACTTTACTTATATATAAAAGTAATATAACTTTTGTGGGAGATTCTTTAACCGACAACCACTACTATGATCCCTAGTGATGATACAACATTTTACCTCACGTTGCCCAAGGACCATCCTATACCTCTCCGTGATATAGGACCTTACTTAACTTAGTGGATCCACTAGCTTAAAATACACGATCATCTAAAAAGTATGACCTGTTAAATCCCATGTATGGCTACATGGTTCTTATGGAGAGTTAAGTTAATATGAACTCGCGTCCCCAATTCGGTGCTCAATACTACTCCCAAAATATACTTTAGCTCATATGTGTTTTAAACACCTCTTTCTTTAGTTTGAGATAATTGCTCAAAGTTTAGCCTAAAGGGTCTCTTGGAATCAATGTTCCCTTTACTGAAAACTAGCCCAAAGGCTCTTTTGGAAAACATAGTTCCTTGCTTGCTCAAATGTGAAAACATTTATAAATTTCTTTGAGAATACTTAGTTCCCTAATAACTTTTGAGAAATGAACTCGACTCTTTACTCTTTACTTTACTTGAAACTTGAGCCTTAAAACGAAGTTTAAACGTTTAATAAAGACTCTTGAAAACTTTAAGAAACTTTGCTTTGATTTGCTTTTTAACTTCTAGACTTGACTCTTAACTTTTTTGACTTTGATCATAACTTTCCTTGAATTGGATTATGGATTCAAGGTTCATGATCTCATGTTTACGGATGATTTCATGATGTTTAGATGTACCTTAGAGTGTTAGAAACAACTAGAAAACATAGGTACATCGCTTAGGAACAAGTACGAAAAGGTGGGGAATGAATGGGGAGAACTGGCGTCCCTGGCGCTCTGAGAGGTGCGGGGTGCCAGCCCTCAAACTTCAGAGAAGTTTTTGTGGCGCTCTGGCAGGCGCGACTCCCATCCCTTTTTTGCCCATCGACTTCCGACTTTTCTCTTCCGTTTTTCATCTCTAAACTCCCCTAACTTCCATAATTCTTCCCCCAAACACTTAGGATCAATTGTACCCTCAATAAACAACCAATCTAACTAAAAAACAACCCGAAAACATGAATCAACTCACCCCCAAGCATCAACAACTCAACCAACAAGAATTCTATAATTTGTTCTTCAACATGTACACAACTCAAAACCAATGGATTGAAACAAGTTGGTGTGTGGGTGAACTAACCAACACGAAAAGATCTCACATACCTTAATAGGGATCACCCTTGACGAATTCCACTCGCAAGCTTGGATGATCTTGACGAATTCTTGCATCTTTCTCCCGTTCTTTCTTCTTTTCTCTCTTCTCCAAGCCTTAAGCATTCTTTAGTTTTTACAAAATTGATTTAGGTTTTGTTTTTACCACAATAAACCCCTAAAAACGAATTAGGAAATTAATTAGAGAAAAAACTACTTTGCCCTTCCCTATAACCGGATTGAGACTTTCCTCAATCCAACAACCCAACTTCCGAAAGGCATATCTCACTCATACGATGTCGAAATTGTGCAATCTCAGTGGCGTTGTAAAGATCTCTCCAAGGGATTTCCAACCATATCAAGATCTGCTCCTAACTCCTCCTGAGCTAGAAGTTATGGTCGTTTGAAAATGGTCAAAACTCATTTTCTTAACTTAGACAATTTCCAGATTTCCTTATTCTTTCCAAAAATCAATATTTTCATATTTTAAACTCTTTATAGTCGTTTCTAGGTGCGAGATGTTACATCCAACACCGAACATCAGACACCAGTGGGAAAACAAAATTAAAGTAAAATAATTTTGCGTTGTCATCGTAATGGATATGATGTAACTTACATTTGATAAATGATGACGTGTATATATCTCAAACGGTGTGAGAATCGAAATCATTGGTTGCTTTCTTGGTGATATCTTGTTGGGGTTTGGTACCTTACTGAGTACCAATTCTTTTTCCGTACTCATATTATACTTGTTGCACTCTTTTGTGAAAGTCTAGATCCATGAAGTAGCAACTACATATCTAACTTACTCTTTCTCATTTTTCTTTCTTTCTAAATTTTGCTTTGTTTTTCTTGGGCATGTGTGAGACAACAAAGACGAATCCAAAAATTAGAGAAATTTGAGTTTGGTTGTGCTGGACTATTGTATTGTGAAAATTTTATAAATGACATATATAAGACTAATAATTTCAAGTTATGACAGTATAATAAAATTTTCAAGTTGTAACAATAAAAAATTTCAGGTTATAACAGTTTATTATAAAAAAAAAGTTTTAAAATAATAATAAAAAACGATTTTTAAAAAATAATAAAAAGTAAAAAACGGAATTAGTTGTAGTAATTAATTTGAATACATTAATGATAATTCATAATTGCCATAAATTTAGGAGATTCAAAACAAAATAAGAATATTTGTTTTTCTTTTTTTACTCTAATCAGTTAAAAGTATTTCAAAAACCAGATTCCTTTTTTTATTCAATTTTTTCTCTCTCTTCGATTTTTTTTGTATTTCAAAAATCAAATTTTCTTCTGTT